AGAAAATCATGTCACCAAAAACCAAGCTCAAGTCGGATCTCATCACCGGTATTGCGAGGAAGCATTTGCCCAGAAACCGTTTGTCGTCGGAGTTGAACATCATCAGGTTCTTTCGATTCAAGCATGAAACCCAACAATTTTCAATCGGAAAAAAAGCATTCAAGTTGTGGCTACCGAAGCTGGTGGACATACTGCAAGTATTGAAATTCTGAACTTTTCTTTCCACAGTAAATCACGAATAACTTTTTAACGGTTAAAAATGAAGTCAAAGTATCTTGGGCAAAGTTTTTGCTTATGACATTTCCCATATATTTGCTGCATTTAATTGATAATAGCGCTATGTTTGATACCCACTTTTGATGATTGAATGCAGTGATGTACAACAAAAAACATCATTTTAGAGATTTTGAAAAATTTTAACTAAGAAATTGGACACAGTACATGCCGTGGAAATTTTTTCTCTTATAGTTTTGACCCTTAGGAATCTGCGAAATATATAAAAGGGTGAGATTTCACTGAAATTTAAAGAACTAAAAATATTTATTGGAAAGTAGCTATGAAAAACCAGAGTTGCCGCCATACAAAAGTTTGTTTGTTACACCCTTAGCTATCATTTGGAGGGTGAGCCCCCAGATTTCCAGCCATAGTGCAATTTTGGGACACCCTACTGTATATCGTTCGATGTATCGAATCCTTATGTAATTTTTTTTTATTATTATGGTCTCTTTAACGCTCTTGAGTCATTCTTAGCTTGTCTGTCCGGGGACAGATTTGAACTCGTGACTTTGGCGTGAGAGGTATGGATCCTAACTACTACGCCAGGATTAAAGTTAAATGTATCAAGATAGACTATATCCTGTGGAACATATGGGATTGTGAACATATTTTAGTGCCATCTAGTTGCTATGAATAATAATTGGTTGCTATTAACGTTCGAGACTACTGGAAGTATTTACATATTTTAAAAAAGCACTATTATCCTTGATGATCACAGTTATGTTCATGAAACATATATTATAACTTATTCACCTATTATGCGATGGACACATTTATAAAAAAAAGACCATTAACTAAAAAAAAAGCTTTTCTATTTCTCCAATACTTCTAGCAGTCTTGCACAGCATGTTGAAGTTATGTCGATAATTGTAAACAGGCTGCATTTGATCTTAACAAAACTAAAGGTGTCTTCCAAAATAACTACCAAAGCTTTGGGTGTCTGTCTATTAATATTATTTCCATGTTATCATGAAATCACACTAGTTGCATGCAATTGTATGGTTTAGTATCTTCGAGATTACTTATTTCCAAAAACACTGAATTTGAACCTTCCATAAATAAGTCAATAAAAAGAAACATATCAAGTTCCAATCTGCTACCAGCATAGCAGGAGTGCCAAAACACATTTTGTTTAACATTTAAAAAAAATGTAATTTGATTCATAAATTACATTCTATATTACTGTTATCACTGTAACAGACAATGTTTCACATATTTTGTACGTATGCAGTTCATATTACACCAAGTAATCAACCAATTTTTATTATGTGTGCTTAAATATCGTGCTAAAGACAAGTTATGTGTACTTGATAAACTACAAGAACGACCGCGCTTTATATAGTTTCCTATATCATGTGCCCTTTCAATCTGTAAAAATGACTCGTCCTATCACTGAGTACAAAAATTACATCCAGTTGATAATTTAAAAGCACCAATATGACTCGAAGTAACAATAGTATGCATTATTTAATAAATATTCACATACGACATCATTTAAAGGATGTCTCAAAAAGTACTCAATAATTCTACAAACATTTATTTCCGTATGATTCGACAGTATGACTCTGAAAAATAGTCAATTATACCCGACCAAAATTTTACCATTTGATGAGTACCTGAGATCAAATTTCTTTAAAAATCTGCATCTATTTTCAACAATCTCGGATACCTGAATAAACATTGCTTTTTCTTTGATTTCAGCACATGAGTTGCTAATCCACTCAAATATTTCGGGTCATTTTTACGAAACAAAAACTTACTTCAATTATTGACTAATTTTGTGATCTCGGGCATCTTCATTGCCTCTGTTAAATGTAAAAAAATCAAACTGCCAAACGTTGACATATAACAAAATGCCAGGAAACAAAAAAAAAATTCCGGGCAGTTGTCCCAAAGCTGTCTACAGCAGCAGTCGAATTTTATTTCGGTGTGAACCACGCGATAGCCTGTTTTTGAGACTCGCTATTATATAGTTGCTCTTTGTTCGTTGCTATCAGTTTGTGCCTTTTGTTGCTACGGTGCAAGATGTGTGAAGTAAAAAACACCATCAAGTTTAGCTTCAGCCATTATGATGCTAAACCAAACATCGGAGAGATTGTAAATTTCGCCAAAGCACTCGACGCGGATCCGGCTGAAATGGAAGCTGTTTATCGCATTGGTGAGGAAAGGGGAGTCTTCATAAAGTTCAGATCAGAGGAAGCGATGCTCCATGCTCTGACATACAATTCGGAGGATTTAATCTTCCATTATGCGAATGGAACGACGGCAAAGGTACGCATGTCGCATGCTGGTGAATTTATCCAGTATGTGCGTGTGTATGACTTGCCACCAGAGGTACCGGACAACGAGCTGGATAAAGTGCTGGGGAAATATGGAAAAATAAACGCATCATCCGGGAGAAATTTCCATCTGATCTGTGCTTTGAGGTTTATACAGGGATACGCGGTATATATATGGATGTGAAGAAGGAAATCCCCACGTCATTGTATTTCTTCAACCGCAAAGGAAATATATTTTATGATGGCAACAAAGATAAATGTTTTCTGTGCAAGGCGGACGGACACCGGAAGCTTTCCTGTCCCAAGCGGAAGGCCTCGGAAGGAACCGGAGAAGCAACTAAAGGAAAAAGGAAAGCCAAAGTGAAAGAAAACAAAACAGCAGCAGTACGTATGCTGGTGTAGTGGTGGAAGGTGCGTCGTTTGTCATTAGCGACCAGGAAACGGACACGGGGTTGGAGATGTTGAATGAAGATAAACGAAATGGGACGAGACGACCCCGACGACCGACGAAGAGTAGCGGAGAGCATGCAACGGGAAACGATGTTCAGATGCAGCAGCAGCGATCACGTTTCGGGTTCAACGAAAATGAGGAACAAATTCGGAAAGAAAGAAGTTGCGTGCACGGGAGAAGATCGCTTTGTCACCGCTTCGATCGCCACCAAGGAAAATCCTTTGATAATATGCATTTGTATATCTTTTGTTTGTATTTTGAGTACCAAAATTAGTATTCCATGTTACTCGGCTCCGCTAAGTTATTTTTTAACATTTGAGCCTGCCAAATAAACAAAATTGAAAAAAAAAAAAAAAAAATTCCTATTATTAGTCTTTAACGTATTGTTTCACTGGTCTAACCACACAAAATACACAATTTAGTTGAGATTAATGCAGCATATAAAAATAATCAGACTATTTTTATATATTGAGAATCTTGTAACGTGGTGAGTGCAAAAAGTAGCGAAGAAATAATCGTAATTTTTTTTTTTTTGGTGGAGAAACCTTTATAGCAACGTATTCACACAAAAAAAAACTATACTTAAAAATCAATTAAAGTGTACATACATAAAAAAAAATGTAACATCGAACGAACACAAATCGATCGTGGGAAGAAATGATGAATTGAGCGTTACAACACAAAAAATACAAAAAATAAGCATACAAAAATCGATATTAGTGATTTTATAGCATACAAGAACGAGAATTTTAATAACGACCAAACCTAATATTAATTATACACATAAAAGTTTTAACGATACGGAGCATAATGAAAAAGAAGAGCAAAATTGATACTAAAACACCAAGAAGTGCTATTAGTAAATAAAACCCAATCTTATATGTTGATTAATTTCATTAAAATAATGATGACGAATCTTCCACTTCATAAAGCAAGAAAATGTGAAAGATTAGTACATTAACTAGAATGAGCATTAAAAAAACGAGTTAAAATATGGTGATACGAGTGTTAAACCAGTTATTATCTTTTATTAATAATCTGATGCAGAAGGATGAAAAAAAATAAAATAAGAACTAGTTACTGCCTTAACGAATATAGAGAATATAATTGAAGTTCATTGAAAACGTAGCCGATGATTATATAACGTATTGGGAAAGCAATCGGATGGAAGCAGCAAAACATAAAATAGGAAATAATAGACTTTATTTGTTCATTCAACAAAATCAATTCAAATCAAAGAGAATTCTTTTCATACAGAACATAACTATATATTCGAAATCAACAGAACGTATGACAGAGTAATAGAATAATTGTTTCCTGTCTATTTGATTTTGATTTTTTTAATATCATGAACCCACTCATTCAATTTGTATAAGTCTCAGTGACATTGTAAATACTGCCATGTATACAATAATAAAACCAGAATATTTCTAACACAAAATAAAAATAACGACTACACCCAGTATGGGGTGAGTGTATGAGTCTACAAATCTAAATGTTGAAATCAACGCCAACATAATCAATCAGAATGAGCAAGGCCTGTTGATGTTTGTAATATTGAGCTGGTCAAGTACTTGGCAGAACCTCTTCTCTCAAGGATCAACGATCCTCTAGCATGGTGGACAGAACGGAGATCGATCTACCCAAGAATCATCACCGCAACGCATGCGAACGCATTTTTTTTTAAACAGGACAGATATGCAAAGAAAGAAGGAGCAGATTGAAGGCCACGAATGTTTCAAAAATTAACTTCCTTAATCATAACCTTTAAGAAAATGTTGGTATCTGTAAAAATGCTCACCAAAAATTATTCATTGAATACAATTCAAAGACCCAAATATGATTTATGAAATATAAGGTGTTTTATTAAGAAGGACAAGTTACATGGAAACTATTAATTTTATTGAAAATTATTTTTGCCATTCATATATATTGAAATATAAACATTAGACTGATGCAAAATTTGACATTTTCGCCCCACAGGGCTCAAACGGTTCCTATTTGTAAACATATATAGAAAAAAATCTATATGAGCGAAGAACGGTTTCTAAGAACTAGTTCCTAATGCCGAATGGTTCTACAAGGAACGGTTTTGTGAACTGTTTTGCCCATCTCTAATTTGATCATCTAGCAGTCAACATTATAGAAATGCATCTAACTGAAATTTTTCTGATCGTTGTAAATTTACCCTACCCATAACGTTTGGATACAACTGTTTGCCAAACAATTGTTTTTTGCGCGTATTACGGAAATGTACAATGTCCTAAATTTTTATCTAATCAGGTTTTTCTTAAAATTATTTTTCAGCTTCTTCAACAAAGGATATATTTGTAAGTTTGGTCCGGAGTTTTTGGGAAGCACATGCCTATATTATGGAGACAGGAGGTGCCTTGACCACTCTTACTGTTTTAGTGGTTCTACCATTGTGGGATAACCCCGGAAAATATGTTGCCTGCTGCTGTAATGTAGGAGATTCTCTAGGCTATGTGTATTCCAAAGCACATGGTGTCAGAGAAATCACAGAAGGTATGTATTTTTAATATTATAAAATTAATATACACGACAGTGATTATTTTCAACAAATCATAAAGATATTGGTACATTATATTTTATTTTCGTAGTTGTATACATCTGAGTGGTGCAGACACGATCACTTTAATTTTTCAAGTAATTTTTCTTGGCAAATATTAACTTTGTTTACAGTATTCCTTGTTCATCCAACACACAATAATCCGATGACTCAATAATACGGATCTTTTTTTTTAGTTCTTATTATAGAGACTTTCAGCCTTAGGCTGGTGCGTCTCTCAATACGGATCTTGTCAATCCGGAAGGTGTCGGATTAAACAGTATAAACACGCATTTAAATTCATTGTGCTGTCAATTTCCAGATTTGCGCTGTAAGCCAGATTCGATGTTAAGCTGACATCACACAACAGGCAAATATATAAACCTAGCGTTTAGAATCATAAGGGTCTAACTGTAATGATCGATTCTATTCATTAATTTTCTCTTTGCATTAATACAGTTTACTGAAAAAAATTTCCGAAATTTTACTAAAACAGTATAGTAAAAGTTTGTATTAGCCAGCAAAACCAACGTCAAACACGCCGAGAAAAGTTAATAAATCCAATTACAATGTATTACAATGTATTAGCTTGGCCATTATGATTCTGAACGCTAATTTTGACCAAATATTGCTATGGCAAATATTTGGTTTGTATTTTCCATTCCAATTATTTGGCAATTCGTTAAATAGTGTGATGGCCTTTTTCCAGTTTTGCCAAACATGTTTGCTGAAAGCAGCCAAATAATTTATTTGATACCAGCCGTATATGGCAGTCCCCTACAAACGATTAAAAAATCATGATGCATGACGTGTTTCTTCAAGTACTCAATACTATTTACCAACGATTCTTCAATACACGACGTGTAAATATTTACATGATTGACAAATCTCAGGTAATCATAACATTTTGATTTTTGAAAAGAACGCGATAGAGAATAAGATACGTACTGCGTACCCGAGTTTTGTAAAAAAAATCGTAAATATTTACGCTGTGTGCAGCTTAGTAGACTGTGTTTGTTAACATCTCTGTCAGATGTTTTGATTTGAGTTGGAAGCAGGGTGCCTTCCATTCATTTTGACTAAAAAAATGTTTTATGAAATTATGGAATAATAAGATATTATGATGATATTTTGTATGTGTAAGTAACAAGAAAAGATTGTAAAGTTTGTGTTTGACACATAAAACCTGAAAATTTAGCTTTGACAGAGTCACAATGAGCGATTTTCTGATCGCCTCTTCGCGAAGACTGAAGAGCGAAGGCTGGGTGAGATAAATGACAAAATCGCTTATTGCGACTCTCATGTAGCAAAAGGGGGAGAGGTAGCTCATCGATTCTTCCGGTTCGCCTCCTAGCATCGTGCTATCAGGTACCAGGCGATAACCAGGGTAGTTGATCGATAGCTCGATGACGTCATTTCGTTGGCGTCTGCAATGGGAAATTCTCATAGCAGGCGTTGACGATGGGACGTTGTCGAGTTGTTGAATAGCAACTATCGTGGTAACTCACCGATTACCTGTCGATCTGCCAAATTGGAAAGACGTCTGCATTGAATTGTCTCATATAATAATATTCCGCCCACTATATCACAAGAAATTGCGAGTAGCTGAGTGAAATGGAGATAAGTTAAGCATTGGGTACAGGACCAAGTCTCCCCTGGGTGGTGCCAAAAGATGAGCGCAATAGAATCATCAAGTTGTCATAAACCACGGAATGAGACTATTGCATGGCTGGGTAGTCAAAGTCTTCCATTCGTTAGTCATTTCAGGTGGATTAGAACAGGTTTAGGTGGGCGTTGGCCAGATTTGGATTTTTCAGATGTAATCCTGGATAGGACCCTGTCATTGAACGTCACGTGAAAGTGACAGCGAAACTCGTTGTTGTCGTTGGTTCCGGTTTTGAATGGATACAAAAATTTGAGCAACGGTATTATGTGATATGAGGGGCTCGGTTGCCTTAGAGCAACCGTTTTTGCTTACTAAGCAGAACATCATGAGTCTAATCTCAGGCCCATCCACATTCAAGATTCGTCAATCGTTTTATTTGCTAATATGACTACATGGTAATAACAGCAACTCGGTGATTAAAAAGGTGCTCGTCTGCCTAGTGGCAAACGTTTTTGCTTACTGAGCAGAAGACCGTGGGTTTAGTCCCAAGCTCCTTCGCGTTATATGATCGTTAGGACATCAATTCAGCTTATCGTTTACCAAAACGAACCCTGCTGTAAACCCAACCCTCTTATCCAACATCCCAGTGATTCCTCGTGGAAGTGCAGAGGTGTTCTCGGATTCCATCAAAACGAGTGTCATGTCAACACAATCCTTCCCATTCCTTTCTTGACCTATGTTCGGGCGCGGCCGGCGCTGGTATTGCCTTATTTAAGATCACCAGTTTTTACACATTGAGGATGATTGCTAGTCCCAAGCATCGTCTATTGGTTCTCTGTGTAATTACAGCTGATCTGGCAGTAACAGAGTAGCAACCGTGGGCGGTCAATCAAGCTCAAGCTCAAGCTCAAGCTATTGCGACTCTCATGTAGCAAAATTGGCTGGTATTATGTGTCAAACACAAACTTCCACAATATTTTCTTGATGTTTACACAAACAAAATATTATCATAATATCTTATTGTTCCATAATTTCATGAAACATTTTTTAGCCACAATTAATGGCAGGATGGAAGGTTAGGAAAATGAAACTTTTTTCATTATTGTACCTCTCCTATTTTTTTTTTATTCATTTTATTTATTTGTAAGGCTCAACTGTCGAAATCAACTCTACGGAGCCAATAGTCTAGGGAATAAGTTTACAATTCATTAGAATTAAAAGTTATTCGGATTCAGGGCCGGAGCGTGGAGAGCTGGGGCGTAAAGTTTTTCTCGGTGGTGAATTTTCACTGGCGTGCTTCTGTAGTTTTTGTTGTTCTTTGATCAGTTTGGTGTGTATTTTCACGTGCTCTGTCCAATTTCCAACTGTTTGTTTGTGTCGCTGCTGGTAGTGTAGGTCCGTCTGTGTCTGCTAATTATTCTGCTGCCCTCCGTTATCCACTTCTAAGTCCATGGTCGTAGTTGGAGCTACAACTGCATCCTTTTCTTCTTCTGCTTCTTTTTCTTCTTCTAGCATCTCTATTTCAAGTTCTACTGTCTGCTTGTCCGAAGTACTCGTGCCTGCGAGAACGGCAGCAAATGTGTTGTTTTTTTGCCCAGCACCTTCTTCTGTTTCTCCTGTCGATTTGTTCTTCCTCTTTCCGCATGCATTTTTTTGGTGCCCCTCCTGTCCACAAGCGAAACATTTAAGTTTGTTTCCATTATAAAAAATTCTCCCCCGTCTATTGTGGAAGTACAACACCGATGGGATTTCATTTTCTACATCCATGTAGATTCCACGGACACCAGTAAATAAATCAAGCTGATATTCTGGGGATACTTCTCTCGAACACAGCGTTTGATTTTTCCGTACTTCATTAGTGCCAGCGACAGATCGTGATTGGATACCTCAGGCGGTAGGTCAAACACTCGTACATATTGAATGTTACTACCGGCTACTGACATGTAGACATCCACTTTTTTCCATTAGAATAATGGAACGGCAGCTTCTTTTCATTGAGCGCAAGGGCTTCTCTCATGCCCTCCTCAGAGTTGTATTTTATATAAACCATTCTCTCCTCTGCATTTTTGTAGGCTGTATCCATCGTTCCCTGGTTACCCGCAAGTCCTTTTACAAAGCGGACCATCTCAGCCAGTTTTGGCTGCGCAGCATTGTCCGGAAAAAGGAAACCAAGGGTGTTTGTAACCGAAATACCACTCGACATTTTTCTGTGCACGAATTATTACCACTAGCGCGAAACAACAGCACAGCAAGCAAACAAAGCGTCTTTCTACTTGAAAATCAGATCGTCAACTGGCCTCTCGTATTGAACAACGGAATTGTACAGGTGGTGGTTACGACAAAGGCGGTTTTAAGGATGTACAATTTTGATTTTAAACCAGCCCACGTCCCAATACAATCCGCTCCTGTAGCAAACCCCTCCGACATCAAGGTAATCCCTTCGAACCAGTGCCCATTCAGCTGGAACCATCTGGATCGACTCAAAAGATCGTTACCCTATCCCTAATGGGCATAATGTGCTACAGTTTCGGGTTCTACAATAGTTTTGACATAGACTACGCATTTTATTGTCCGTTTGGAGTAACTGATAGCTCGCCCACGCATACTGCTAACACCATTATATCAGGTAGGTGAAAATTAAGCCTATCTGATGAAAGTGTTAGCATGCGTGGGTGAACTACCAGTTACGCCAAATTGACGAGCAACTGCGTTGTTTACAAAAGATGATACGCCCCTTCGAAAAAGTAATCGAGAAACACTCTTGGGCTGTGTCCCAATTGCCGAGTTAAATTTAACTCGTGGTTAAACGTGACAATTCGAAAGGTATAACTCATCTCAATATCTCATGTCCAGGGCTGTCATCTGCTTTGAAACCTTTCTTTTTATCCCAAAATTGATAAAATTTACAATATTTTTTTTTTTTTATCGATTTCTCCCAATCGCAAAACAACCACCAAAGAAAGTACCGATTTGGCTTGGGAGGAACCGGAGGCTGTGCCATCAACATCCGCTCGGCCGGTGGGACAAAAGGCCATTCAGATTTTTAAAGGAAACCAAGAAACCAACCTACACATGCCTGAGTTGCAATGGCTAAATCTGGCAACCTTTTGGCTGCTGTTGCACAAGAAAGACTTGAGTACAGCAAGCAAAAAACAGTCGCCTTGAGCAGAATATCCAATCATCAGATCATGTCGATAGACTTAACTAATTTAAATGGAACTGCCAAGGAAAACTTTCTGTTGGAACAAAAACGGGTTTTGCACGAAACCAGAGAGCAGACACGGCGGAATATGTAAAAATTAATTATTTTCGTACTTACTGATATATGTATTGCACGATTCCAAGATCTTT